TTTCCTCTTCTTTTTCCTCTTCTTTTTTCTCTCCCTCTCTCTAAAAACTAATGAACGCTGTTTGAATCTTCACTGAATTATGAAAAATCTCATAGAAAACTAGGTTGAATCGTCGAAAGTTCATCGAAAAATTTAATCGTCGTTGAAATCTTCAACTAGATTATGGAAAACTTACCCAAAAATTCAAATGTCACTGGAATCTTTACAGAAATCTGAAAAAGTCACCGAAATCTAGAAATTTTTCAAAAAAATTTTCAAAAAAAAATCTCTTTTTTCAAACAAAAAAAATCTCCAAAAAAATCTCATATTCTCTGGCTTCCTTTGCGTGTATTTTTTTTTATTTCTCTCTGTATGCTTTTATTGTTTGATGTAGATCTATATTTATAGGGTTTAAATTTGAGAACCTTAAATTGGAAATGAGTGTCTATTCTTTTTAAATTCAACCTTCAGATTTTAAGTCTAATTCAAACCTAGACAAACAATTTTATTTGAACTCAACCACTTGATTTTTTTCATTTTTTCATTATTTAATTAACAAATAGAACTCCGGATAGATTAGAGTGTCTACAATCTTAATTTTTTTTAATTGATGATATTTTATAAATAAAAATAACAATCATAATAATATTTGTTTCATTTTGCTGCTAAAGATATCATTTGTCATTTGGATATTTATTATTAATAACAACTAATGAAAAATTATCATAATATATGTCAAAGAAATTATAATAATTATTTAGTAATTAATATACGTAAATTCTCTTCATCTAAACAAGTGAATTTGAACACATGATGTCTAGGAGTATAATCGATCTAGTTCGAGCCAATACAATACTAAGCTCGAGCTTGACTCTAAATTTGATGTTCGAAACTTTATTCGAACTAGATTGAATTTTATTTTTTTAGCTCAAGCTCGATTCGAGATAGAAATCGAGTTATTCGAACTTGTTCAATTAGATTTGATTAGTATATAAAAATAAGTTATATTCTTATATTCGAAAACAGTTTAATTATTTGTGCTCGAGCTTGAACTTTATATTTTATCAATTAAAATAATTAAAATATAAAAATTCGATTAAGCTCGTGAATTACTTGAGTTACATATAAAAATATTCGAATTTCATTCGATCGATAAGTCAAACTACTCGAATTCAAATTTAACTCAATTATAATCGAATCAAATTTAAATTTTATTTAAATAAAATCTGAATAACTTATAAATATTAATGTATTATTTATAGCTATGATCCTTTCAAGTGCGGCTACTGGTGGACACTTTCACTAACGAATATACACTATGAATGGGGCGGCGTTTGCCCCCAACCTGTGGTTAGGATCAGAGCCTTAGGTTTGATGGGTCCTTACCACACAGCATTCATAATCGGACAAATTCCTCATCGAAACTTAGGCCTAAACCTAATTAAGCTTTATTTTTTTAATAGGTATAATAGCAGCCTATGAAGGAGACTCATTATACCTATTTTGTTCTTAATGAAATTATTTATCATGAGTTTATCCATAATTTTTTTAATTGTCTTTGTGAAAAAATATAAAATAAAGTTAATCATATTTTTTATATCTAAATTTTAAATATATATAATTTGGTATCTAAAAAATTAAAATATATAATTTATGCTCTAAATTTTTAAATTATAAATCATGTTAGTCTAAACTTTAATCATACTAATCATATTAACTTATATATATATATGATATTTGATAAATATTATCAAATTATATATTTAACATACGTATTATTAATATTTTTTTAATATAAATTAAAAAATATTTTTTATATAAATTGTAAAAATTATCTAATATTGATCAATTATGGTTGTTATCAAACATCTATATAAAGTTTTTATAAAATATTTAATATTTTTATTTAATAAATAATATGTATATAATAAAATTATACTAATTAGATATTATATAAGTAAATTAAATTAATAGTATTATAATTTATATTAAAATTATATATAATTTTAAAGTTTATGGTGTAAAATTGTACATTCTAATTCTTTAGGTATTAAGTTGTATATTTTTCTAAGTTAGGTGCCAAAAGTGTAAATAACTCAATAAAATACTATAAAAGAATTGTTAGCTTTTATAGTATCGGAATCAGCTTCATAACAGAAGACATTGAATTCGAACCTCAATTGTAATAAAAAAAACAAAAAATAAAATACTTAGAATATATTAATAATACTAAATTTTTAATTTAAATGACCAGATTTAATATTTGAAAAGTTGGAAAGATTTTGAGAAAAAGGTCAATTGTGAATTAAATGATAAAATTAAGCATACATTCATCTTTGATAAAAGGATAGGCTACCAAGTAATAGTCATCCAACTTGCTTTGGCCAAAACAAAAAAACCTTGCTATCAGCCTTGTTTTGGTCAACTTACAGAAATTAAGAGCACATATTTTCCTTTTGGACGTTTCCTCTTTTACCTACAATATGGATAAGGGGGAATAAACCTAACTGGAAAAGAGCAAATCGAAACCAAATACCTTCACTATTTGTTGGCTAAATCAGAAAGTTGACTAACAATAAAAGCAAGCAAACTGTGCATGTTGAAAATGGCACAAAATCTAAAGGGATCATTCCCTGCAACTCCCCTATGCTTTATATCAGCTTTTGTTTGCTTTTATTATTATTTTTTCTTTTTATGCAAATTGAGATTTGAGAAGATTAAAAAAAAAAGGCCATGGGCCTCCAGGTCTTAAATATGGGTCTAACAAGGGGCCTACATCAAGAGTCCCATTCTTAGGACAATAGAAAATTTGGGCCAATTTCTTCAGTCCCAATCCAATGGCCAACTAGCCCAATTGCTTCAGTCTCCATTCTTCATTGTATCTCTGCATGGCCTTTGTTTTTGGAGGTTGTTGGGGTCTTCCACCCTATGTTTAAAAAAGTATTGATGAAATGTGGAAACAGGAAAAGCTCGATCATAAGGACTAATCGGGCCTTTCAATTTCTATCCCAAGCCAAAATTTTAAATGATTTTTTTATTCTCATATATATTAAAAGAAATCAATTTTTTAATCCAAAAAGAAATCAAGATATAAGATTGTTTATTGGTAGTCCACGTTTTTTTGATAATGACCTATTTTGTTTTAAAGTCCAGGTTCAGTTACTCGCTTTGAGTTTTGTCCGGACACTTCCTGAGGAAATTATACGTCACCTGATAAGAAGATAAGCTGACTGTTGTGGAAGTAGCATAACATTCTGGCTAGCATTCAAAGGCAGATTGCAAATAGTTAAAGCATTTTTAGGAGAAGAAAGGTGTCACTGTCGTCCTCTGTTACTTAGCTGATGAGAATATTTAGAACCTCTTCTAATGGACTTCCCTTAGTCGGCTTGTATATTTGGCAACGATGGGATAATGTGGTGGTCTTGATTTTGCAGAGTTATGGAGGCTTGCTTTTGCCGCAATTACCTCTACAGGATTTCAAGGGGAATGAATAATAGTAGCCTTCTAGGTTATCACTTATCATCATGGAAGATTATTAATGATGTGAATACGAGAGTTGGAGACAAGCTATCTGGTGATGACGGAAGGAAGACAGGTTTGGAGCTTTCTTTGACAAATGGACACTCGAAATTCTGTTTGTTATCATGACTATGAAAGCTAGCTAGGCCATTGCTTTTAATGGGATGGACGACGAGTCATCAGCTGCTTTGTTGCAGCTACAGCTTTACTAATTTTTATACTGTTTTAATCCTTTTTCTATAGAACAATATTAATGGATTCGAGGGAAAATCCATTAGACTCCATAAATTTGGGGCCAAATTGTTCGCCCAAAGAAACTTTAAGCCCAACAAATAAGGGCAGAAAGCGAGATCCAACCAAGAACAATATTACCCCAATCTTGCACTGCAATATTCTGCAATCAATATTCAAGAGTTCCTTTTATTTTCTGAACAAAAAAAAGATGCAAGCCATGTCAAAATGGTGCTAAAAATCTAAAATCAGTTACAAAAATCTTCTACCTCACGCCTTGCGAAGTATACTTTGTAAATTATAGTTCCTGAACTTGGACAGGATCATGAAATATAACCTTGGATCAAATTTTACTCATCCTAAAGATAGGCGCAATTAAAGAACTCAACATTGGGTAGGTAAGAAAACACCAAATATCTGCACTATTGGCTAACTCAATGCCATATGAGGAAGCAAGAGGAAAAAAGATTATTTTGGTGGAAATAATTAGGTAGATTTCCAATATCGCATAAGTAATAGTGGATCAAACCCTGTTTCAACTCATCCTAGTCATCACTAAAACCGATATTTTGTGTAAATAAGTTGATGCAGAGAGGATTCTAAAGAATACTGTTGAGCTCACCCAAAACGCAGCAGCATGAGCTAAGCTGGTTTAGTGCTTGGGCCTGTAATAGTAAACCGGAGGAAATAAAAAAGAGTAATGAAAACACAAAAAAGTTTTAGGTGCACCAGCCGGGAATCGAACCCGGGTCTGTACCGTGGCAGGGTACTATTCTACCACTAGACCACTGGTGCTAGTCGTTCCACAGGGTTTCTATTTAATTTTATTGTAAGATTATTTGGGGACTCGTATAAACTACTGATGTTCATGGATCAGGGGCAATCATTTCATTTATAGGCCATAGCCGGTGAGCAGAATCATTTTAGAGCATCATTTCCTTGCAAAGGAATACCAATGTTGTGGTGGTGGGTGGCAGTTGGATAAGGACAACTTGACTTCTATGATAATGAGTTTTAACTGCAAAAGCACTGCATCACCAAAATTCCCAAGTCCAAAAGGGGATGAGGATCTTCTATGCCATCCAGTATAGCTTCTTGGCGGGGTAGATTGTACTAAGAGAAACAACATACAGGGAGGAATTTCATGATTGACATAATAATCTAAAACTCATCCTTTAATCATCACAATGAGGGTTTTAAGTTGAACTTTGACATACATAAGTACAATTACATGCCTAGCATTTACAAATTTAACAGAAAAAAAAAATCTCTTCTATAAGACCCAACCTCAACGGACATGAAAGAATGCAAAAAGAAAAAAAAAACTAATATAAAGGTGCAAAAACAACAAAGAAAAGGCCCTCCCCACCTAATGATGATGTTCTTTCATCTCGCATTCTTTCTAGAGCATGATTCATTATTGTACAAATCTGCTATCCAAGGTGCATCAAAATCAGTACAAGCAAAAGTGGCTCTCATTGTAGAAATGATGCAGGATTATCTACCTTCCACTATAGTATTCGTCCAAGAGAGAGACATGGAAGAGTAATGTGACTGCCGAATATCATCGAATGTGGGGTGTGATGCATTGCCAAAATTTTGAGCGTAATTAGCCCACATATCCCTGGACTTCACCTTTGCCAGCAAATATGCTTCCATATCCTCGGTTTCTGATTCAAATGGCTCATTCTTCCCCTCTAAGACTTTGACTACTTGCCTTATGGTTGGCCTCGAATCAGGATGAGGATATGAGCACAACAAGCCTAAATGCAGCACCTTCTCCACCTCTTCCTCGTCAAATCCTCCACTAGCCCTTAACCTTGCATCTACTGCGGCAAGTAATTCCCCTTGCACCATCAACTGCCATACCCAATCTACCAAAGGTGGCTTCCCTTCCTCTATAGGCCTCCTCCCACACATGACCTCCAAAATCAAGACCCCAAAACCAAATACATCAGTTTTTGTTGATGCTCGTCCACTCCTAACCACCTCAGGGGCCAAGTAACCAACGGTTCCAACCACACGCGTTGTGCTAGCCACTTGGCTGTGCCCATGCATCCGGGCTAATCCGAAATCTCCTAACCTTCCATTCATATCCTTATCAAGCAATACATTGCTGGCCTTAATATCCCTGTGTAGAACCTTAGCTTCCCATCCCTCATGTAAATATAATAATGCTGAGGCAACATCCTTCAAGATTCTAATTCTGTCCTCATAACTCAACATCTTGCTCTCATCACAGTCATAATAAACCCTCTTGTCCAAACTTCCGTTTTCCATATAATCATAGATCAACATGAATGTCCCTTTTTCTTTCTTGCACCAACCTTTCAAACCCACCAAGCTCCTGTGCTTTAGCCGACCAAGACTTGAAATCTCTGCCAAGAATTCTCTCATTCCATCATTTTCATGTGAAACGCGCTTTACGGCAATCTCAGTCCCTCCTGATAAAACACCCTTATAGACCTTTCCATTTCCTCCAACTCCAATCACATTTTCCTCCAAAAATCCCTTGGTAGCTGCATCAATTTCTTGAAATGTCATCTTATGTGGCCAATACTCAAATTCCCAGTCTTCCATTTCTGCTCTGTCCCTTGCTCTCCTCCTTTCCCTCTTAATCAAAAACAGAGAAAACAGACCAATAAAAACAAGACTAAAGAAACTTCCCAGTGTTACTCCTGCAATAAAAGATCTATGCTTATAAAATGGAGTCCTCCGAATAGCAAATGACGGTAAACCAGTAGTGATCAAGCTTTCACTTAATGAAAAATTTGAGTTACTAAAACTCCAAGCCAAAATCCTATGACTTTCAACCAGTCTTCCAGTTGATGAAGTGAATCCAACATACATTTCATCCTCAAAAACATCAGATAAATTCAAAGAAACATTCAACAACGGGCGCTTAGGCCTTTTACTTTCTACCGGGGCAATAGTAACATTAATAACAGAATCAGCATAGTCAATCCAAACTTGATAGTTCTTACCACTATTCAGCTTCACTACCTTAAAAGCCTGCTCATCACCATTACTATTATTGCTGTTGCTGCTGCTCTTTATGTTGTCAGGCCAATAACCAGCCGTGTGGGAGCTTTCCGACTTGAGGGAGTTAATGTCAATTCCTACATGGTTGTCATCTATGTCATCAAATTCTTGGTTAGCAAAAACATCGAATTCGACACCAAAGACATGATTTTTAGGATTGCCGTTGTTGGTGAGGTTGAAAAGTCCTAGATGTTGAGATGAGCTTGTTCCATTGATGCCTGTATTTGGTGTAAAGATAAAAACTAGGCCGTGCCCTGGAAGAGTATCCTTGTTCCTGGAAGGAGCCATGGAGAAGATAAAAGAAGTAGAAAAAGGAAGGGCATGAGAAGAATTTGGAGTTTTTGTTGGGATTTTTGATCTGTAAAGAGCTCGACCAACTACAAAAGATGTCTCATTCGTGAGTGTAAGAATTCTGGAATCTATATTGGCAATACCATAGAGTAAAAGATTAGTTGAATTGAATCCGTTGAAGACAAAATCAACAGATAAAACAGACTGAGAAAACAGGATTATGAACAAAAGAATAAAAAAGAGAGGCTTTGGTTGTTTCTTCATTGCAGCAAAAGCAAAAACCTGAAGAGCCTCTCTATCATGGGAGAATTCAGGTTTGATAAGTTACATGAAACAGGGTGGGGATTTGGATTTGGGAAGGTAAGGAAGAAGAACAAAGAAAAATTCAGGTTAGCTGACATGTGAGGTTTTGAATGTATTCCATAGTCAAACCTTTTGGATGTGATCAAGTTTTATGGTTTGCCCCTCAGATGATTAAGATATTGCAAAACTAGTATTGGGTTTGAAAATCTAGGCGGATGGCTGTACTATACAAGTTGTCGGACTTTCTTATTCAAGCCGATGATGGGAACTTCTTGAAAACCTCAGCGTGCGAAATAAATTGCCATACTTAAGTGTTAGTTGAGAAAAAAAGAAAATTTAAAAAGTAAAAAGCAAGAAATTTCTCAAAAAAATATGTGCCAATATTTAAATGTTTGCAAAGGCAATTTCTTATACTACCAGCAAGAAATACATTGATATTTTTTTTCTTTCTTTGGTTTCACATCAGACACAGCAGAAAAGTGAACCATCCTGGATTTCTCTCCAGGCTCCAACGAAGGAGACAAAAGGGTCCATTAGTGGCTTACAGCTAATCAATTATCAAAATAGAATGATATCTTTTTTTTTTAATTTTGGTTTTGCTAAGTGATTGATGTCATAATATTTTTATAGTTCCATTCCTCGTTTATCACTCAGGTTTACATGGTAGGATCCGATACACTAGTAACTTAATATATGTATATATATATATATATATAAACCATTCAAGCATATGAAGACAAAAGCCGATAATAGAACTTTAATATATAGTAATCAAATAAAAATAAGGGATTTTTTTAAATATTGAAATGCCAAAATGACAGATCATAATTCTGATTTGTGAAAGCCACCCAGCCTAAAGTTGACGCCCTTGAAGTTGATAAGTCAGGGAGGGGTACTTTTACTAACATATATAATATTTATCAGAAAGAAATACTAGTAGATTTATAGCAGCGGCCGGCCGTTCCAGAAAAATCTGGGTTAGATATTGGGCACAACAAGTTCTTTTGACTCAAAAAATCTTCAACCGGCATTTATTACGGGTACCATTTGTTTTTGTACGGAATCAACGATCTACCGTCACATATAACGGCCTAAGAAATGAGTTGCTTGACTGCTTTAATACATTGAATGAATTAAACTCACCTTATGGAGAAAATTTGGACCTAAATCCCAGGCCAAATGTGGGTTGATTTTTTCATACTCATCATTTATGTCTTCTAATGAAAATTCTGAATACACATGTATGGACATGTATGTTGTTGACTTTATAACAAGAAATCATTTCAAAAGGGTTTATAAGAAGTTACATTAAAATTTGAAATTTCAATTTAAAGACATGAAATTCGAATTTTGATATAAAATAAAATTACTTTATTATTGTGCAATCCAAAATGTAAGGCATGAAAAAGGAAATTTATTTTTTATAAGATAAGAGTGATTAAACTATTTCATTTATATATAAGAGTGTTAATTAATTTTTTTTTATGACAAACCAAACACACGAATTAAAACCATGATAATTACTTTTAAATACTTAATTAATTGAGTGGCACATGGATGAAATACAGACACCCTCTTATTCCAATTTCAGTTATTTGCTTTTTTAAACAAGCTTTTTCAACCAATCAGCCTCTACGGGTAGTTTGAAACTCAAAAACTATTGAGAGAAATTGGCGACAAAGCACAGCACTTGGAGGCTCATGAAGTAGACAATGAAGAAATGTAAAGAGAAAGAGGACAGAACATTTTTCTACCGCCTTGGTAACATCTTTCGAATAAACTAAAAGAAAGGGGAAAGTTCCAGGCAGGTAATCTCTCATGGTCAGGGACCCATCTTAAGTCTTTGTTTACAAATGAATGAAAGGATGTTGCCATGATTAAGAGTGCTAAAATTGGAATTCGTCCACCACATGACAAGCAATAATTTGTCATGATTGAAGCATTCAATCTTGTAATAACGTGGAATAAAAAACATTGCTATGAACATGTTATTTGACATGTCTTCTACTTTCTGATTCAAGAAGAGGAAGATGTTATTTTCTTCCTCTCAAAATTACATATTTTTATTGTTGACTAATCCATGCTTGAAATAACAACTAAAACATTACTCATCTCTTCACTTTGGTTAAAATGTAAAACAAACGTTTATTCTTCAGTCAATTTTGAAGTTTGAATACATATTTTTACCATTCAAAGACAAGTTTTTTACTTTTAATTATCTTTTGCCATATAAGAAAAATAAAAATATCTAGGATTTTTTTCCATATGGATAACTGGAACGTAACTTGCTTGGTGCGACATCCATGAAAGTGACAGAGGATGCAGATCGAACATTTCTACACATATTCTCGTCATTGTGTATTTGAAGTGCAAGTAATCTATCTGTTCATAATCTGAAACAAATACAATGAATCTACATTTTTCATGCTCTAATTAAAAGGTGTTAGCATATACTTTTATGAATTATGATGGTGATTATAAATTAAATACCAAAACAAACAGCTGACAGGACATAATTTAGACCATCATATTTAGCAGGTGAGAAATAATATCTGATAGGCTTTGCATTACGACTCTAAAATGTTTGCGCACGTTTTTTGAGGCTGCTTTTTTTAAGATCATTGATGAAAAATCAATTCCCTACCAAATCCCGGAAGAAGCCATTAGTCAATTTTGTTAGCCTTTTCCCTTGAATGTTTTAAGTACCTTGGATGCAAGTGTTCTTCCTTGCATAAAAAATATGTTATAGAAATCACAGAGCAAGGCAAAAGCAGCTGCTTTGGCAATGGCTGCCTGCTCATGCCCTGCTCTGTGATCAAATTAGCTCATCCCAACAGTAAGCCAAACGATCTTGACACATTCATTCATCAAATGAAACAGTAACGCAGACAATCAACCACTTAATCAACAATTCCATCAGATGACAAATTTACAATATGTTTCTGTTGTATGTATCAGATTTTATACAAAACAAGGAAAAGTGAAGAAAGTGTCCATATTACTTGATTTCTTTCACATATAACTTCATTTATATATAGTCCATGCTTATTTGGTTTTTGGCCAAGCTCTCATCTGTTAAATTGAAAATAAATGATCCTAAGAGATAACAGACCTACTTCAAAATCTCTTCTTTAATTCGCAGCACTATGAAGACAATTGAGGCTGTTCCTTTTAGTCAAGTAGGATCTAATTTTTCTAAATGGACAGTCAAATCTAAGAAGAGATAACATCTTTAGTTTGGCAGCTTTTTCTTAAATTAATAGCTCCAAAAGTTTTTGCATTACATGCAATTTCTTCCTTGTAAGAAAAGCATTCTGTTGAGCAGATGGCACGGCACCCATTGGGCCATTTTTAATCAGGAGGCTAAACACAGTCCTAAGCATAACAAATGCAAGAAGGAAATAGCAGAAGATAAGAGCAAACAGATGATGCAATCTCTTCCTTAAAAGATAAATTTGAAGAGAAAATTTGGACTTTGGCTGAGTTTGTATTTACTTAAATTGTCAACTGAATAATAACTTGAGTTTGATTGAAAACTTGGACTGATGAATCTCCAGAACAAGCAAATTATCATTGTTGTAGAGAGGTTATTGCCTGATTAGATGACTATTTTTGAAGTACAAAAGTAGAAGAAAAAAGTTTTATCAATTTGGACATTGAACTGATGGCTAACAAAGATAGAGGAACACATCCAGAAACTACCAAATTGAACCTGATTTTAATTTTGCTTCTTTCAAACATGGTACCATTAACATGAATAACTATTCAAAAAAGGTCAAACACAAAAACAAAATAATCACGAAAGTGCTAGAAGAAAATTTAATGGGACTTTTTTTTACACACAGATCAAAAAGTAGATGCAGAACAGGAATTATGCTATTAGCGAGCTCTGCTCTTTAACATGAAAATTCAAAGGCCCATTTCCCTATTAATGCTTACCCATGCCCACTGATCAAGATTGAAGATGACCAATCCCTCTAATATTGCAAAAACTTGTGCTATAAATGCTTAGCCCATGCCCACTGATTCTTGTTCTTTTCTTGATATATATGAACATTTGTAATCATAAAAGATTTTTAGTCTAAATTTTTTTAGATTTGCCGCCTACATCTACAAGGATATATAAAAATCAATTGACCAATTTCTTTTCTCTTCTTTTTTTTTTTTTTTAAAATTAAACAGTAAATAAATAATTAAAATATTAATATTGCCTCTCTTCTAAGTCTGCTGCATACAATACATTCATCCTCTGGCCACCTCACGAAAGCACTACGACAGCATTATTATAGATCACTTCAATGGTTTCTTAAGCTAAAAAAATATACTATATAATTTATTCTATCATTATCAATTTAATTATCATTCACTATACATTCCCTTCCATATTTCTTATTTTTATTAATATCATAAACATCAATTAAAAAATACAATGATGGAAATATATAACATGTTTAAAAACCATGGAGAGAGAGAAGCAATATCTGACAAAGATGGACTTTTTTTTTTTTTTTACCCATAGACAAAGCCATAGAATTCAATTCCATTAAATCGATAATTTTAAGCAAAATTTATTTCTGACGAACCATTTTTCAATTGCCAATCCGCTATTGTCAAAGTCAAATTGTATGAAGAAAAGTTTAAAAGTGGTCAACAAAAAGTTGGCGCGGAATTTCAATTTGTGCACTTGCACTGCAAATCCACGTCTCAGAAGCAGGTTTAAGCCTGCAACTAGATTAAAACCTACTGCCTTTGATAAGTAATATTTTAAGCTTTTTTTTACAACCTAAAATTAAAAACCTAAATAAATATTCTTATTGAATCAATAAAATAATTCAAAATCTGGAGGCACCTTGCCTCTTTGTCTTTGATCTTAATCAAAAATAATTAAACCATTGAAATAAGCCTCCCAGATGGCTTTTCATGAGGAGAATATGCATGGATGGTCCCTGTGAAATTCATGCCTGAAAAATGAAAACACGACGTAAAATTTTATAACATGTGAACAAGCTGAAACAATGGCAGTAGATCAAAAGAAAAAAAAAAAAACGAACTTTTTTTCTCGTTTTTCAGCCCAACAAAACCACAAACTTTAATATGTTCAATCTGTTTACCAAATAAATGCATGGCATTTGGCAATTGGGTAATAATAATTATCCTTAAAATCACTTGTCTTATCACTTTCTTTTTCTTTCAATTTAATCTCTTCTTACATATATAAAAAGGAATAATTATGTCTTAGAGGAGATTTAAAAAAAAAAAAGAAAGAAAAAAGACATGCTTGTCGATTCACATTCTGTTGTCTTATGTTTTAATCCAACCCGAAAATTTTATGAATATTTTAAAATTTTAAGAATTTGTTTGACAATTGTCTTGCTTAAGTTTACGGCAGACTTTATTTTATTAGAGAAGCCAAATACAACCATCACCGTCCGATTATTTGACATCATATGCACATGGTGCAGATTAACCTGTCAGGATTTAATTATAAGTCATATTCACGTAATAAATTCGTCATGTATAAATGTACTTTGAATTTTCCCCATTTTTGCAATATCCAACAGCTTGTAATAAGAAATATATGAGTAACTCGAAAATTGTGATCTGAGATTTGTCAAAAGCCCACTTCCCTCGATTTCACAAAACACTTATCAGCCAATCAAAAACTGAAAAACCCTGATTCATTTTTCTTAAAATATTTATACTTTTTGATTGTTGAACTGCATTTCACTTCAGTTTGAGTGCTGCCGCTCCAAGTTTTGTGGGGGGCTTGTTCTTTTTTAAAATGGGATTTTTTTGTTGTTGAGTAGTTTTTAAGTAATGAAGTTGTAGTTTTTGATTATTTTGGTTGGGTTGGTCTGTTTATAGAGTTAAAGTAATGTTTGATGATATGGGTGAGTTGGGGTTGTTAATAAAGAGACAATGACTGGAGGGTCATCGGGGATTCGTTCTGGGAGTTATTGGTTCTTTGGATAAACAGTTGCAAAACGGTGTTTTGCCATTTCAAGCGCCTTCAGCAACAAGAACTAAGCCTTCTAAAATGTTTAAGGAAAAGGAGACATTGGTTCATTGGATCTGTAAGTTTGCTGGCCGTAAAAAGGTTCGAATGCTGCTCTTTTGTGTCATCTCTGCTGCCGTTTTTGTTTCGGTCTTATATGTTGGCAAAGGTTGGTTTTTTCTTTATTTCTCTTCGTCATTGGATTGTTTATAGTGAATTTTACTGATGAGGTGATAGTGAATTAGTGATTCTTAGGCACGTTGTTGTGATATTTTGATGAAAGAAGTGGGGAAAAACTATGTTTACCAGTGTAGTAACGTTGGTGTTGCGGTATTGGTTAGGGTGTTTGAATTGAGAAATGGGCATCTAGAGGTTTGCTCACTGAACTCAATTGAGTTGAGAATATAGTGCTTGCCCCCTCTGAGGAGGAGAATAATGTTAATGATCAATTGAATTGCTTTCCCTTGTTGTCAACCTTGGAATGTACTTTTAATTTTTTTATTTTTTTTTTATTTGCTATTTCTTATGGATTTTTTTAGTTCTTGATGAAGGTTAGATTCAAGTTCAATTTAGTTTGCTCCCCTCCTTGTTTTGGTTTTGGATAATCGGCCTGTAGCAGAAGCTGGTTTCATTTTATTGTTATATTGGACTTCTAGCTGCCAACTGGCCTTAGTTGTGTGAGGATATGATATGCGAATTTGAATGGATTGTGGCTTGTTTACAGGTGAAGATCAGGTAAGTGACAATGTTCGTAAGGTAAATGACAGCTTGCCTCTTAATAATTCTGGATCTCCCCTGATTAATGAAGTGCAAAGTGTCGGAATACACAATCGAACTTCTTTACCAGTCAGTGTGGAAGGAACTGAAGTTAGGGTCAAGCTCCCTCCTCCTCCTTCATATTTTCTGGGCTACAGTCTTCCTCCAGGGCATCCGTGCAACATTTTCAATATATCCCCTCCATCAGCATACATAAAAAGAACAGTTCCACATCGTAAGTTTTCTTTTGTTTTGTATTTTTTTTCTCAATTTATTTATTTTGGATTTAGCATTTTGACATTACTAGTTCAGGTTTACACTCATTGAAATATAGTTTCTGAGTTTTCTTGCTTGTTTATGACACAGCTTGTCCTGTATGTTACCTTCCTGTGGAGGAAGCCATTGCCTTGATGCCAAAAATCCCATCATTTTCTCCAGTAGTTAAGAATTTAACATATATTTCTGAGGAAAACTTAAATAAAGAGACAGAATTTGGAGGTTCAGACTTTGGTGGGTATCCTACTTTGAAGCAGCGTGATGATTCATATGACATAAGAAAGTCGATGAATGTGCACTGTGGGTATGGTTCACCTCTTTTTTTTTTGAGTTAAAATTTTTAAAGAGAACATTATTTGGCACCTTAATCTTTTAAATTATATTTGCTAGTTTGTCAACTTAGTGTTTTGATTGATGTGTTTTGGGCATTTGCTAGATTTGTCAAAGGAAGCAAACCTGGCCGGGGCACAGGATTTGACATCAATGACAATAATCTTCTTGAGATGGAGCAATGTCATGGAGTGGTTGTTGCATCGGCCGTATTTGGTACCTAAACTGTACTATGTTTTTATTTATTGCTCAATTCCTATGTTTGAGTAAATGGATTTGTATTGAATAATTCAATTTTTTTCAGGAGCTTTTGATACCATACATCAGCCAAGGTATATTAGTGAATATTCCAAGCAAACTGTCTGCTTCTATATGTTTGTCGATGAAGAAACAGAAGCTGATTTGAAATCTCATCGTGGTCTGGGTGAGAGTAAGAAGTTTGGAGTATGGAGAATTGTTGTTGTGCGTAATCTTCCTTACACCGATGGAAGGCGCAATGGAAAGGTAAATGCTTAAAATTTGGATGATATTCCCTTTGAGTTTAGATCAGAGTTAGGGAATCCAGAGTTTAGTAGATGACAATAAATAAGGTCCACATTGCTTGATTTAGTCTATGAGAATGGGACCAAGAAGTTTTATTTGGTTTGGGCATGACCTTGCAGAAAAGAAATTGGGATAAGGCATCAATTTGATCCCACAGCATCCTTCTATATTTTAAAATGCATATAAAAGAAGTTTTATCCCTTCTGACTCATGTTATGCATGTAACAGATCCCAAAGCTTCTACCACATAGGCTATTTCCGAATGCTCGTTTTTCTTTGTGGATTGATGGGAAACTTGAGCTTGTTGCTGATCCATATCAAATTCTTGAGAGGTGCTTTGGAATTCTGTCCAGCTTCCAAATTTTATAAGATTCTTAAATCTTATGTGTTGAAGTTAAACTAGGTTAAATAATATCTGGATATGAATCTAAACTACTTGGTCAATACTACCATGAATACTGTGTTTGTTAAAAGTTTTGGCCCCTGTTCGATTTTTTTTGCCAACTTAGGAGTTTAGCTTTTCTTGTGTCTTTTAGTTTAGCTGGTTTCAGGGCCAATGTTTGTTTATTCTAACTCTCTGAAGTCTTCCTTTAGGTTCTTGTGGAGAAAAAATGCTACTTTTGCAATTTCTAGGCATTTTCTACACTTTGATGTGTTTGATGAAGCTGAGGCAAATAAAGCTGCTGGCAAATATGATAATGCCTCCATTGACTTTCAGGTTGACTTTTATGAAAAGGAGGGTTTGACCCCATATTCTGAGGCTAAACTTCCTATTACAAGTGGTAAGGTGCAAGATACTTGCTTATGTGTTATTGTTTCTGATTGTGCCTCTTTCAGCTTTAATGAAGTTTGCTTTAAATGGCTGGCTCTGCAGATGTTCCTGAAGGATGTGTAATAATAAGGGAGCATGTTCCTATTAGCAACCTCTTTACTTGTCTTTGGTTCAACGAAGTTGACCGTTTTACTTCTAGAGACCAAATTAGTTTTTCAACGGTAAGGGATAAGATTGCGGTGAAGACAAATTGGACTGTGAATATGTTCTTGGACTGTGAAAGGCGCGACTTTGTTGTTCAGGTATTTGTTTTTTCTGTTTTTTTTTTACATTCTGCATTCTGAAATATGCTTAAGTAAATGCTGGAAATTTAACAAATGGACTCCCTTTTTCAGTTAGTAATAATTTGTTACTGTTTAGTTTCAAATTTCCTACAATGCAATTATGTACTTTTTTACTTAAGAGATTTTCCGAAATTCCATGTGTATATCAAAGAGCACTTCACCGTCTCTTTAACCTAAATGATTTGTTTGTTGGTATTTTCTTTGATGAATAATTACTGCTTTAAGTTGGCCTTTGCTGGCAATGGCAGCATCTGTATATGTAGCAGCTACTATCTCTCCATGATAATGAAGCTATAGAATCCTCATTGATACTCCAAGACTTTGGTTGCTTGATTTCTTAATTGAAGGATTAAAATCTTTTTTTTTTTTTTTTGTTAAAGAAGATATAAAATCCTCATTGAATCTCCAAAATTTCTAGCTTTGTTATGCCTCACAATTGATAAACTGAGTTTCAAACATGCTTCCATTATAATACTTGATGACTGATTCTTTTTCCTTGTGGATGATTTGGAAGTTGGTACCACTCTCATTACATCCATTTTACGCCAGGATGCATTTCTTGCACATCTGTAAGATTGTGGCATGAGCTGACCGTGGTCGAATCTGCTTGAACCGCTATCTACCCATCAATTTTTACATTGAATATAAATATTCAATTCTCTTGAGCAACCTAGTTTGGTTTGACTTTTTGACTTGACCTCTCCCCTCTCTCTTATGTATTTATCTTTGCCCTATTTGTTATTTGCAGAAACGCCATAAGAAAGTTCGTGCCCATTTGGCTCAGATGGCTCCTCCTGCCATTTATCCTCCACCGCCACCACTATATTTGGCCAAAGATCCGCCTCGGCTATTTACACTTGAAACTTCAGATGAAAGTATCGTTAGGGCTCCACTCAGGAAGGTCTTGCCAAGACATGGAAGAGATAGGAGGTCAGGTGCTAGGCGTCATTGCAAAGTTGTCAAGGAAATAATTTCAAGTTAAATGTTTGTTGAGGCAAGTTACCATTCTTTTCCCTCCCCACTTTCAGAAACGTTCATCTTGGGGTTGTTGGGAGATCATGCAAGATTGTTGTTGTTCTATTCCATAAAACCTACGGTCCATCCTTTTTTTTTTTTTTTTTTAACTTTGACAATTGTCTATTTTCATTCGTTTGTTTTTTTTTTTTATATATATAAAAGTATAGTCCCAAAAGTACTACTAATATATATGGGTTACCACCAAAATCCTCTGGTGGTAACCCATTTTGTTGTTTTATTATGGTAGTAGCAATGTATTTGGGACTCAAATTATTCAATAGTCCTTCTTATATGTTCTCTCTTCATTGAAAGTTAATAAAATCAATGAAATTCACTTTTGAGTATTCTCCTTCTTCACTTGGTTCCCTCTTGTTTGATCAATTTACTGCATTTTTTTGTTTGGTAGATGGATTTTAACCGCCTTGCCATAATCACATGCTCCCATAGAATAGAATTATCAATCTTCCAAACTTAGAGTTGATTCAAGAACAATCCCGATTCTTGTTTCTTAGAAGGATACTTGATACTTGACGTTTCCATTTCCATTTAAAAATGGGGTAAAAAAGTAGGCATGAAACAGATGCTTGCTTTATTTGTCAAATTAAAGCAACTGTTCTGCCCCCTAACAGTGCCACAACAATGAACCGCAAACCACCATAATTTCGACATTCTGACTGGCACAACCAACAATCAGTCGAGACTATCCAATAACAACAAAATTAAAGGGCTTTAAATTCTTTGAAACGCGACCTAACTAACCAATACTACTAGTTTGACAGAAAAATGTCCCGAGGAATTCTAGCGGTCGGCACTACTTAGAATCCGCCACGTGTCAATAAAAAGGACAATCAGATTATTTCATGCCTTAAAGAGGGTCCCACCAGATCCTTATCTTCAGTAATATCCCAACTCGGTACTCGGCAGAATCTTCAAAAATAAAATCACCATAAAACTACCGAAAATCCTTTATCATCTTCTTCTTCTTCTTCTTCTTAAAATGAGCTTAGGGTGAGGGTTTTATTCCACTACAACCATGTCTATTTTAACTAACCCCTAATAACTGTCCCATTGAATTTAGAAAGAAAAACCAAAACCCACGAAAATGTCAACATCATCATCACCGTCATCATCAGCCTTCATGGTGATCTGTCTCCTCCACTCGGTGATCGCCTTATCAAGCGGCGCGCTCATGATGTTCAACATGAAGGAAATCTACACCTTCACGCACGGGATAGAGACCGCCACGAAACTCCTGGGCTCGACCCCTCATGATCAGCTCTTGATCCGGACCTCCGATTCTTTCTCGGGTTTGCTCTTATTCGCTATTGGGTTTTTTCTTTTCATGGTCTCTTTTGTTAAAGACAAGGAGTTTCAATCCTTCTTTGCCAAAGGCTGCACGATTTTGCATGTTTTCGTGGCGATCTGGAGGTTCTGTTTCGAGAGAATAGTGGAGGATTTGGCTTGGGATTGGCTTAGACAGACAGTTGGCGATATTTTGTTAGCTCTTTCTTGGGTATTCTTTTTGGTTTACTCTTGGAGAGAAAAGTATGATTAGATTTAATTTTTCTGTTTAAATTTACATTTTCTTTTTAGCTGTTTCTTTTTTTTTCTTTTTTTTTTCCTAAACAGTTGGTATTTTTTAATTTTTATTTTGTAAGTTGGAGGTGTATATTTTGTGAAGTTCAGAAATGTGGGTTCTTTTGAAATGTAGTGTAAGATTATTGGGTATGAGTCAGAATTTGAGAAAATTCTCACCTTTGTGTTTTATTTACACTTGCAATGATACATTTGCTATTTGTAAATCTTTCTTTCTTGGTATTTTTTTTGGGATGATTTTGGCAAACTATACAATGTGAAAATTGTGATTTGTCAATCAAAATTCGAGCCAAACCCTTTTGTATTTCTATGTGTTATGGAGTTGTGAATATGCACTTAGAGCAATTGGAGGTTTTTCTTTTTTTCCTTTTTCTTTCTATCCTTGAGAAGCTGAAATAAGTGCTCCTTTTATTTAGTTGCTGAGGAAGAATAACAGTGAAAGAGGTGAGGGTGCAGTGGAGGTATACTATGTCTTTCTATTGGGTTTATAAATTGGTAGCAAATGATTTTGGATATCATCTCTAAAGAGTTGTTTCTTTTGTTTGCTATTACTTTAGGGACCAGATAGTGTTTAAAAACTATTAAGTTGCAGGAGTTATGTAGAAATATGTTTTGATTATTAAAAAAAAAACATAGCCATAGCTTGCCCGTGTACCTTTTAACATCTGCTTGAGGACATATGTGAAATCTTGATCTGGATTTGGATATATAATCTGAAAGCAGCATGATGTTGAGGAAATTGCCAAGTTGAATGTCAATCTTGGATTCTTGGTAGCTAGAAAAGGAGTGGCAGGAGGCTCCCCTGATACTGAATTTTGAGCTGCAGAGTTCAACTGAAGCCAGTGTCTCTGATAATTCTAGGCATTTTCTTCCATATTAGCAATTTTTTATTACCATTAAATCTAAATACATAAACTTTTACTCATTGATGATCCGCTTGTTCTGTAGTGAACATATATGTTGATATTTTGTGAAATGACATGATTATTACTTCTATTATTCTTGCTCTGGTCACGGTGCTAAACTATTTATCTTTTATTCCCGTTGGGTTTGTCATATGCTATTTGATCTCAATTCTACTGGACAAACTTCCTTTTAACGTGTAGTATAGGTTTTCAACGAAATTCTCCTCCATTAGTGCTGCATTAAAAGGTCGTTTCTTCTTTATGCTAACATCTCTGATATCTACTGCCCTCTGTTTGTCCGAGTTCTTCATGGTTCAAGGTTTGATTGAAAGTGACCAAGTAGGTGAGGATTGCTGAATAATCCGTTGCTACATTTCTATAATGATGTTTTCTTTTGGCTGTGCTTGGTGATGATGTTGAATTTAAACAAGAAAACTTTAAGCAATAGAGTAGGCCATGCATGGGGCTTTGCATTGTTTGTATCTCTCAGAAAACCAAAAAATGTACTCAAGGGGCAGATATGATCTCTTTGCCGTTTCTAGGCAGCCTAATGATCTCTTAGGCTTGCTTTCCTTGTAATGATTTTTGCAGGCTGTATGCCTTTTTAATGAACAAGAAAGGGATAAGTATGATGCTGATCATCCGCTCGTCTCCTACCTTGCTTGTTTATCAAGTCAAATTTTTACACTTGGGATCATTGTATGGCCCCTTGGGCTCATGGGAAGTTCAATGTGCTAAGCTGGGCCTGATGCAAGGCCAAGAAACGTGCTTAGTGGAAAGGCAAGTATCATCTGGAGGCTGAAGCCTGAAGTGGAAAAATCTAGTCCAGTTTACCAACAACTTTGGGCCTCTGGCATAGTTGTTAGCAGGATGGGTCATAATTGTAACTTGGATAGGTGCTTCCGTTGGATAAAAGTTTATAACGGCCCTAAGATATATCTATTTCTATTCTCTCTATAAGAGGCCTGATATGAGGTCACAGGCTTTATCTAATACCTTTCTTCTGGAAGAACGATTTATCAGATTTAGTATCATGGGTAAAACCTTTATCTAATACGTTTCTTCTGGCAGAATGACAGTGTAATTCACTTGCAATGGAAGAATCTAATACAAGATCAACTACCAGCTGACATATAATATAGTAAACACTCTATACGTTAGACACTACTGATGTTCACACAACTCGAATGGTAAGCTACTTTTCAACTATAGCTTGTATTGGTTGGGTCCAAAAAATTGTAAGTATTATTCTACTGCTGCAAAAAAAGTTCCCAAGATTTAGGATGAATGTTGATTCTATTGAATTTCCCATTTCATATCGATATGCTGTTAGGCACTCCTCTGCAGGTAACTCCAGGTCCTGAGGATGGCACGAGCAGTTCATAAGGAGAAACCCCAGCCCCACATCTATTTCTAAGCTTTGGGTTGGCATTTCTCTTTTCTATCTCTTTCTCCACCATTCTCATATCCATTGAAAATCTGTAGAATGCCTCAATAATCTCTGGTTCCCCTGCCCATGCTGCAAGGTCTTTCCTCTCTCCTAAATACTCTTCATCCGGTGAATGTGTGGATAGAATATCAAGCACAGACATCAAAAATGTCATTTCTCGTAAACTTGGCAATGATGATAAGAAGTACCCCTCTGGATCCGCAAGGAAAGTTGCGTACTCTGGATCGTGCTCATTTGGCACTAATCGCCGCATATATGATGGACGTACGGGGACATATCCACCATAATGATACTGTCCGAAGTTCAGAGCAGCATGTTCTGCTGATGCAATCCAAATAATGGTAGTTAGAATGGAGACAAGGTCCTCTGGTGTTGAAAGCCTAGGCCACCAGCTTTCATGGCGAATATCGGCATGGCCTACATTGATGGATTCATAATACCAGGCGCTGAGTTCTGGATCAGATCGAACACTACTTGAGTCTGGGTAGTAATATTTCACAAAATCCCTAACCAGTTTCTCAATGGCGGACCATATAAGCAACCCATCATTGGCGTATGGGTAGTCTTCGATTAGTAGTTTTAGGCCATGTGGTTCAGTGGGGTCCGCTTCTGCAATTCCTCTGCACAGAAGGAAAGAAAAAAGGAAATTCAAGTTAGATTTGTTTGAAAGTAAAAGAGTTCTAATCATGTGGAACATCTATAACCGGGGAAACATAGTGTGCATATATCAAATTATATATACGATATAGTACCTTCGAATAAGGTCTGCAGGGAGGCTTTCCATGTCAAATCGCCAATTTTTATAAGCGAAAGAAGTGATCTCCATGGAACATTCTTTAGTGGAGAAGAGGGACTCAATTATTCCGCCGGCACTAATGAGAAGCTCACGAGCCCGCGCATTTATCTCCATTGTGTATCGCATGTGAGGATGAAGAAGCTTGTGAATTGGATGCATTACACTCAAATGCCGCCGTGCTGATATGATAAATGGTTCCATGCATGCATGAGTCCGCAACCAATGCTGAATCAGTTCATGAGCTCCAGAATCGTTTGAGCAGACATGGGCTTTAGCCAGTTGCCATTGCCAGCAGGTTGTAGCATCAACTGGAGGGGTGAAAACCTGTTTTGAAGGAGTATAAGGGTTTATTGGTGGAAGGCTGAGCTCAATAGCAATTGGCTTCAGAGTTCCCATTTGGGTCAAGAAAAAAATTGTCCGAGTTGCATAGGCTTTTCGATCAGGGTGAGCATTTATGCTGTTGACGAATGGAAAGTAAGTATCGTGATAGTCCAGTATGAACAGCTTATTCTCTTCTATTGCCTGCAGCAATTAAAAGAATTTCAAAAACAAAAACGTAAGATCCATTTATTGAAGGAATCCAATAATTCATATTTGAAATCAAACTCAACATGGTCACTTGCAATCGATGATGTTCGATTGACAGTGGTCCATGCTAATGTCATCAAGTTTATTACGTAACATAAAAAGGAACCACACATTCTTCTTATAATCTAACTAGGCAGAAACAAGGCACTACGGACACGGGAAGAAAAATATGTACATAGTATAATTTCTATAAAAAAAAACATGACTCTTCTATATTTACATCTGAGATTTCAAAAAATGTCATTGCGACTTGCACACTTAAGTAAGGTTTCGTTTTGAATCAGCTGGATCTCCAGCGAAAGGTCAATTACTATGAAATTTTGTGTCAACTGGGCCTCGCACCTGTCTGAATGTTTAACATTTACTGCGTTTTGTGACTTTTAATCACCGATGAGTAAACCTCCAGTGGCCAACTGACCACTTTTTTTTTCTTTATTTCATTTTTACCCTTTATATAATATTATAATTACTAAAATATCTTTTCTTAATAATTTTTCTTTTTTCATTCTTTTTTCAATTTCATTTTTTATTTAGAAATAGTAAATAATTTTATTAATGTAATATAATAAAAATATTATTTGATACACTATTATTTTTATTATTCTTTAATTAGTTATCAATAAAATTATTATTTGATATAAAAATAATTTTTTAATTATTTATTAATTTTATAAATATGAAATCATGTAAAATTTTTGTTACGTATAATTTTTATTTTAAGTTTTTAATAATTATTAATTTTTAATATAATTCAACTCACTTCTATGATTACTTTTTACATTTAAATATATATATATCTTATTACTGATTTTAATCTCATTAAAATTAATTTTAATTTTAGCGCTGGTTCAAATGAACTGTAAGTAAACTTCTTAGCTTTTGCGTTTCTCCTCACCTGATTTATGGACATCCCATCAAGATGACAGATGATATGTTCTTCTCTAAACGCTGACTCCTGTGGACCATAGATGGATGGATCTAGTTTGCTTACAGGTGGAAAAACCTGAAACCAAACAAGTTACGTCTAGTTAAAATGTTTCTATATGTTCCCATTGAGTTGATTTTCATATTCTGATTAGTCGCAAAGAAATGAACCTACCTTTAGCCTTTCTATGCTTATGGGGTTCATGCCAGCAAGTGTTAGACGACCAAATTCATCATCTCGTAAACAACATGAAGCATCCCCTGAAATGAGAGCAGTGTTTTCGTCAGAATCTGATATCCAATTTCATTAAAGTTATTTCTTCTCAAATAATTAAAGAGCAAGAATTTTTGTTCTTACTGGATACGATTTTTGGCGGGTTGAACTTGAAGGCATCTGATGTGGAATCTTTTATCATCTTATTAAGCTTGACTGGGAAACGTGTGTTCTTCCGAGATTCTTGCCAATCTGACTCATTGAAAGGATTCTCTTTGTAGAGTTCATTGATATCAGAGAACGAGTTTATAACCTCACCCTTCGTTGAGGAATCTTTAAGGAAAGGAAAAAAATTATTGACCATGCCTTTCCAGCTTCCTGCATCGACTGTTTGTCTCTTCACATCTCCAAATGATTCATCTCTTGGTACATACATTGGCATGGATTCATTTGCCGGTGCCTCTGACTTCGGATCTGTTCCATTTTAACAAAATCAACATTTCAGTCAGATTGCGTTCGTTCCAAATTGGCCCTTCACATAATTATGACAAACTAATACACTCTCAAATATGAACACCTCACCTGACTTCGTGGAAGGGCGTCCAGTTCGGCACCGTCTTGGATAAGGACGGTGTTGTCCCCCTAAAATTGGCCGTGCATATTCGGTTCCTTTATCTGGATTTCCCAAGTCATTGTAGACATCATAGTCATAAATTCGGTCTGATAACGCCCTAACACCCTCTTCATTGCCCCTCAGTTGCCTTAATTCTTTTTTTCTCAATTCTTTGAGTCCTATTGGAGTTTCACTTGGTAAGAATGCCTGCCATAATTTGCAAAAACACGTAATTCCATGCCATTTAAGAATCGTGACAACTTCAAAATATATATGTAAAAGAATTTTATAAAAAAGGGTGCTAACCTTATTAGAGAAGAAGATTCTTTTCTCCGGATGGAGTTTCTCCGGTTGAACCCAAGAGTGGCACTTAAAATGAACAAGTCCTTCAATGATGATGCTTTCTAAATAGAACTCCTTTTGGTTTTTGTTGCTCACAAGGACAGCTCCAGGGACTCCAAAGTTTGCATCTACTAGAAATTGCACTTCGTGACTGACTTTGTCGGCATTCATGTTTATGTCTCTGGACCAGTCTAATATAGCGTCCTTGCTCACCTTTGGCTCTCCCGTCCCTTCATTGATTCAAAAAGAGCAGCAATTAGATTGATCAGTAAACAAACTTCATGCTTTAAGAGTAATTTTAGAACCAAAATTTGGGTACAAGAGCGTGCGCTTGTAGTTGTTTCAAATGTGTACTCATGTGAAACCCGAATTAAAGGGAATTGCACCCGGATATTTTGCCAAAGATGATTCGAGGGATAACCATCTTAGCATTAGCTATGTAAACAAAATGTGGTGGAGAGTAGTTTGTTTTTTTTCAATTCTATTTTGGACAGATGTGAAGACATGAAAAGACGTTAATGTCCAAGTAAAAACATTTCTGCCTCGTTTAGTCGCTTTGTGATCTGAAATTGATTGAAAAGCAAAGGTAAGAAGGTAGTTGCCTTGTGTTTACAAAGACTATATGCTAGCCTTACCTTCACCTTCCACATTAGAATTCCTGAAATTGAGTTTTTTAACTTTTGTGTTACAATATTAAGGTTGATAAACATTAATGTAAATGGAGGAATATCAGTGCTTACTTGGATCAACATCAGTGCTAACAAGCTGAAGAAAAACACCCCTCTGAGCAGTATTGGCACCAGAATTCCACCAATGAAACATCAGCTCCTTCATATTTTCCTTGGCATCATACTTAACCGTTACCAGAGCTGTGACCGCTAATTGCACTGGGATTGCTGGGATAGCCATGATGGAATCAAGCTGAATGAGCTGAGTCGCCATGGGAACAGCAGCAGCTGCAACAACCTTTCTCAATTGTACTATTCTTCTCTTGCACGAATTGAACAAGGAGGTAGAATGAGAAAGACTGTACTTTTGCCGCTGATGATGAGAAAAGTTATAGTAATTACGAAGCAAATATTTTGAATTAAACGTGTCCATTGTAGTTGAACACAAAATTTCCTTGGTTCCTGCCATTGATGAAGTAATAGTTTTTACTCTTGATCTGATCTCTTTTTGCTTTAAGGGCGACCAAGCTAAGCAGAGACGATACTGTTGCTGGCTACTTCCAAGCAAACATGGAATGACCCTTTTTATAGGGAGATGGAACCGAAGTGGTTAGAAGAAGCTTCGGTTTCACCTTCCATTAGAGAAATATTAAATTGTGAATCACGTGTCCCTGCCACACGCTTTATGTCGTTTTATAACTTACTCGGATCGATTGAAACTTTTTTTTTTTTTGTCTCTTTTCTCGCTAGTCCATACAATGAACTCGTTTCAATCCAGCTTTGACCATCATCTAAGAATGCAACGTGTCACTCTGTTTTTTTTATTTAACCATTTGGATTAAAAAAAGAAGAAACAAAATTTTTCCCTTACCCACCATGCTCATTTTATTCTTCCTTTCTTCAATCTTTTACGATACCTCCTACTTTTTTTAGTTCTTTTTTTTTTTCATCCTCTTTTTTTTTTAATCTATGAAATTTTTTTTTGAAATTCATCAACAAAAAAAAGAACAAACCAACTTCCCAAAGCTCCAATTTGGGTTCAATCGGTTTGAAATCTTTGAGATTTACCAACGATTATATGATATATTTTTTTATTTTTTATTTTGAGATATTTCTTTTTTTATTAATTTCATTTATTTAAAAATAAATAAAATTTTTTGCGTTGATGTATAAAATGAGAGTTTGTAACTTTTTACATCTTAAGTTAATTTTAAGTGAAAAAATATTGGAAATTTGATAAGGGTTTTTGGGTTACTTTTATTATCTAAGAATTGGGAGAATAGAGTTGAAATTTTTATCGGTTCAAATTTTGATTGAATTGAAGTTTAATTATGGAAAAATAATAATATAATTGAGTACCCAAAAATTATAAAAAGAAAAAGAAAATAAGGGTAATGTAATTTGATTTGGTTATATAATTGGTTAAAATGCTCAAAGTTTGTCTTTACTAATATGCTTAAATTTTTAAAATTTTAACAATTCATAAATTTTGTTCTATAATTGGGATGTTACTTTAAAAAAAAAAAAAACATTATTTGGCTTTATTTTCAAAGGGAGGTGGGTTTGAGGTTGAAAGGGTTGTTGCTATCATTTAATTAGTTTTTGAGTTATTTTGTAGAACTTAGAATTAGAGATGCATATGTTTGTATTAAAATTTGCTACCACAAGATAAAAACTCATAAATACCTAAATTCTTGATGGATGTAGTAAATCGACTCTTAAAGATGGTGGAGTCAAGAATTCACACAATAATATATACATAGAATTTTTTCGAGTTTGGTTTGCTCATAAGAAGATTAGAGAATTTGGTTGATGAGTGTTAAGATACTTGACAATAAACTTTTAATAATATTTTTTTTAAAGTTTGCTTATGATTCCATCTGTCATCTATTTTTTTATTTATTTATTTTGACAAATTTGGTTGAATATTTTATGCTATTATCTTAATTTTGATTTTCAGTTCATATTTGCCTATTATATTTTGTGTGTTTTTAGTAAGGTCATTTATTGCTTACAATTAAAAATATATGTTTATATATAGTTTTGATTTGCTATTTTATACATTTTGGAGATATTATTTTATTATTTTATTAATTTTAAAGTTTTAAACGTAATTAATATTAGATTTAATTGATAAATTAATGTAAAGTTAATATTTATATTTTTTCTTGATACTTTTTTATTAAACTATATGATAAGCTATGACAGAAATTATTTTGGGTTTAATGTTTTTTATTAGTTTTGTTTAATGATTGATCAATGTATTGATGTGTAGACTATTATTTTTTAATTTTGTTGTTATTTATATGTTAAATTCTCATAGATACAATTATGGAATTGTTTCAACAAGAACGATATTAGTATTTGTATTTTTATATCATTTTTGTATGCATCTATAATTTTTTAACACTTATTATATATAATTATTTAATAGGATTTTTTATTCTCACTTCTCAAGTCTAAGGCTCTTCGATCATGAAAGATAAGATGATATGATTTTTATACAATATATTTCTTGTTTGCATATGATATTTAATAGCATCAATTTAATTTTTTTGTAATTTTTTTTCAAGTTTTAAAATAGTTTGATATAAATCTTCCATCATAAAATTACTCAGATCAATTGAAACTTTTTTTTAATCTCTTTTCTCACTAAAAATTGCAATGAAAAATATGAGCTATAGATTTTGATTTGGTGACTCATGCTCCTACTATAAATCGGAACGTCTGCATAGACTTCTAAAACCTTTGGTTCCTACAGTGGTTTGAGTGGTTTATAGTGTACTTCATTTTCAGTAATAATAAAGAAAACCGACTTCGTTTTCCATTGTTTGTTTAAGGTACTTTAAGATTTTTAGTTCAGTTACATATTAGGGTATTTATTAGGACTTCGTGATTAATATTTTTTGCTCTATCTTTTGTTTTCAATTCTTTTTTTTTTTTTGCAAAAAAAAAAAACCAATAAAATGAAATATAATTAGTTAGTTGTAATAAATTTATCATTTCACACCAAATTATTTTATTTATACTGTACAAGAAAGCGACATCTGACAGCCCTGCTTTAAGCAATTCTTCGCTTTAAAACTGACATACACCTATTTAGGTCCATTGCTACAATCCTATCTAAGTATATGATTCAAATTTTAAAATATTAAATAAAAATGAAGATTTATTTTTTAAAATTATAATTTCAAAATAAAAAATTTATAAATATTAAATTTTAAAATTTAAAATTTAAAATTACTTAAAGGCAGCATTTAAAATAATTATAAATCAATTAAATTAAATATTAAATTAAAAAATAAAATCGAAATAATCCCTTTCTCCAATAAAAAAATTTGAGAGGAATTATTTGATCTTGTTTGTTTTATTTTTGAAAAGTAGTAATTATAAGCAAATTTGTTTTCTTTCTATCTTATTCAAAAATCAAATTGACAAAATCAAACCATGGACTGATGGCCAAGCCATCCTTTAGATATTTTTTTGCATTGACCACGTTTTTTTGGCAGCCTGGTTGATGCAATTTTGAAGCCACAAAGAAAAATTTTGTTTTTGAACGAACTTTAACCAGAAACCAACTTGATATTAGTGACCGAACAGACCATCAATCAAATCCATCTACTTCTAATTATAACATTTAAAAAACAAGGATAATTAGAATTTTCATATAGTAGTCACAATTATTAAGACGGGAAAGAAAAGATTAAAAAAAAAAGCAAAGAAAAAAATTTCATATGGTAACGAATTTTTTTTTGAAAATTTTAATTTATTCTGAATTTTTTTATTCTACTATTTATCTGTTTAAAAAAATTAGACATATAAATTTTTTTTGAATCTATAATTTTTAAATATCAAAATTTAATAATATATCAATTAAATAAAAAAAATCAATAATAACAAATTAATTAATGCATATGACAACCAAACAGGAAATTGCAAATTAACCACAAGGTAAGCATTTCATGCGCAAATTAAAAGAATACACTTTTCCACGTGACCTTAATTTTCTTCGAAAAAAAAAATGGTGTCAATCACTATTCCTACGCAGTTTGTTTCAATCGAAACTTCGTATGTAGTGCTGCTCATCAATTTTGTTTTTTTTTCTTTTAACAGCGATTTGCTGTTCAAAGAGACGAATTCGAAGTTTTTTTTTTTTTTTTTAGGAATAAAAATGAAATCATATTAAGAAATTCAAATAACTACAAATCATTGCCTCCTCTGAAACTGTGGGAGCGTAAATTTCGTTATATTTTGAAACTCACGCAAAAATAAAAGGTAAAAATTCTTTTTTTTTTTTGCCACAAAAGAAAGTTCATTTTTTATATATGGAAAGTTAATTATATATATTTATATATAAAGACTGACACATATTTTATTTTATTAATTAATTTTTTTAATTTTAAAATATAATATATGTATTATTCTACTAATTTTGCTTATAAAATTTAACAATTTAACCGATAGTAGAAGTGAAATAATATTTTAAAATATATATTATAACTCCTATATATTTGTAGATATCTTATGTTATTTGAAATTTAAATTTTTTTAAAATTTTAAGTTTCAAAATGTTTTTTATATCTTATTTTATTTGAAATTTAAATTTTTTTAAAATTTTAAGTTTCAAAATGTTTTTTGATATCTTATTTTATTTGAAATTTAAATTTTTTTAAAAATTTTAAGTTTCAAAATGTTTTTTGATATCTTATTTTATTTGAAATTTAATTTTTTTTAAAAATTTTAAGTTTCAAAATGTTTTTTGATTTTGGATTGCGCATTGAGTTTGGTTTGGATCTTAAACCCAATATTTGTCTAATTCTCTTTTATTTTTTTATTTTTTTATTTTCTAAAAAATGAAAATTTGAAAAAGAGGAAAATTTTGGAAGAATTATAAATTGATCTGAATTGTAATTCTCTTGGGATATAGATTTTTCGATTTGAATCAAAGACCAAAATTTCAGAAAAAACAACAATTTGAGATCTTTTGGAATCAAAAGTCTTTCCGATTTAAATTTCTTTAAAGTTCTGCCAATTTGGAATCGAGCCCTTATAAAATAATCAATCAATACACAAAACAGTTAAGGAAAAGAGAGAGAGAAAGACAAACTGGAAGACAATGTCAGACGAAACGGGACTATCTCGCGAAGAAAAGGAAGAACTACAACGTAGCGTCAAGAAGATTAAGGATTCACACCCTGAGACAAGGGAAACCCAGGCAGAAAGCTCAACAGCAGCAATACAAAGGAAAAGTGTTTCGTATCGTGACTCCCTTCTAGTCGCTGCTTATGGAGTTCAAATCCAGCCGCTGTGCGAGCCAGAAGAGGAGGTTATGGAAACAGACTCGGAGGAAGACAACCAGGAGCAGAAAGACATGGAAGATGATGGGAAGTTAACATCACCCTCAGTTTGGAGGACAAAAAATGAATCCGAGACAAGTGGACAAAAACCCTTATAATCAATGTAATAATGTTTAAGTTAAAAAATCTATCTATTGGACTCAAAAATTATAAAATTACTGCCAATTTTTTTATTTGGTCACTATATAAATCTATCAT